AGAGACAGATATATATATATATATATATATATAGTTTTAATTATATATATATATTTAATTATATATAATTATATATATATAGTTTTAATTATATATATATATAAATATATATCGATTTGTTTATCTATTGTTTCATTTGATTTCTGTTTGATTATAGACATGAACATATTAAAAATCCGATACGATAAAGAAGAGAGCAGGCGCTCCCGAAATATTCGTTATAAAATTAATTTTACATATCCTGAAAAAAACGTCAACCGCCTACATTATTATTTCTTGTCTCCATTCTACTATATGTCCATCAGGATATACGTGCACTCATCACTTCGATGCATCATAACTATATATATATATAGTTGCCACACGGTTACTAGGAATATTATTATTATCATCATCATAGTCATCATTATCATTATAGGCTAATACTACTTTCTATTTAGAATATACTACTAGGCCTATATTGATTGATTGGGTAATTTACCATCTTAAAAACACTGATTGATTCATAAATCTTTTTTTATTTTTTTATTTATCAGATATGCATATATATGGTCCATATGGAGCTCAAGCTATAGTGGAATACGTGTCAGTCGAGGCAACAAACCACTCAGCAGCAGTTAGGCGAAGGGTTGTGGTGCCAAGTAACTCGACCCTTCTGCAAGGAATGCTAGTTGCTCAGCACGAGCACGGTCCTAGAGAATTCACGTAAATTATTTTGTCATGGAAATTATTTAAAAAAATGTATTAACTTATTATTACATAATAAGGCTGATGACAAATGGACCTTTCCGGACCGCTAAGCCCACCCTTCTCCTTGAATATCGTTGCCAAGGTCACACAAAACGCAGCGTAAAACATGCGAACACGTGTGTCTGTAACACACGCGCGTAGCATGGCCCTGTTCTAATTGGTTACTTGTTCGGTTTGAGTGACATTCTAGAAGATCCATTACAATAGACCTTTCCGGTGTGTTAATCAAACTTAAAGCCCCATTCCCGACAAAATTTCAATTTTTAAGAAAAATCTAATTTTTGTATAATGTTATAAAGATTTATAAATATAATACGGAATTGCTAGTTTAACTGAATTTAGACATTCCTAAGAATGAAAAAAATGTAAAATAAGACTGAAATTTTATTTTTTGTGTTCCACACAAAAAATAAATGCGGATGAATTTTTCATGTTGATTTTGCGATAGGTCGTGAGAAGAAATATCGTAGGCGCCGAAAACATTAGCCTATCCAACGCTGCTGGCTAGGCCTAGCCTTACCTCGATTTTAGGTTCTGTTATCACACATAAAAACGGCTTAGTGAAATTTTGCCGGGAATGGGGCTTTAAAGCCCCATTCCCGGCAAAATTTCACTAAGAATGACTTTTTTTTAGAAAATATGCATTTGCATTACTCCAATTATTATAAATCATGGAAAAATATTGGCATGAATTTTAGTTTTACGCAAAAGAATAAAAAAAATGAGAAATACAGACTATTTCTCATAAAATATTACCATTTTCTCGACGAATTCATCGTTACT